TGTAGCTGCTATCTTTGGCATACTTTATGGGTGTATTTAGTATTTACATGGCAGACTTTTTATTCGAAAATTACACATGCGTATGATGTAATGGGGATCAAACATAGGCTCAATGTGTTTGACAATGCAATTCTTTTTATTAACAATAAATTACTTTTTTGATTAAAAAAGAGTAAGATGGACAAGAAAATAGAAATATGAATAAAATAATGTTGATAGTGTTAGAAGTGTGCTTGACCCAATCATGACGAAGTTCTCTTCATGTGCCTCACTGTATTTCATGCTTAACATGGCTCCCAAAATATATGAGATAATGATTTTTCAAAACTTAGGTTAGATCATTGTTATTTTAGCTCATTACTAAAGCAAGGAAGCATTGATTTTTATTCGATATTAGTTAATTATTGTCACAAGTAATGTACAAGGACAAAAATAAGGATTTGTCAAATTTAATTTAATGTGTTTTTTATATCTGAAAACAAATACTTCAAGATTCACTAACTTTAAATTTTATATGTTATTTAATATTATATTAATATTAAGCTATTAAAATTTATTGAATAATCATATTTCTTGAATAAAATATTATTAAAAAAATATTCTCAAAATTTCAAAGTAAACGCGTTTTCCATTTTCATATTTCTCAAAACAATTTTTCAAAATGACAAAAAGAACGTATTTTCAGAAATTTCAAAACAGACACTTAAAACACAAAACACAAAATGAATTCAAAACACAAAATACAAAACTGAAACACAAAGAGAACGGCCCCTGAATTTTTGTAAGAACGTGGATCCAACATGATCTATGTATTTTAATTAAGTAGCATTTTTTACCTACCAAATATATATAAATTTAAAATGAGATAATTAACTATTAGATTTTTCATTTTTTCCAGATTTCGTGAACAAAATTTCATTTAATATATTTTGCAGTCTACTTAGTAGTATATATAAAACTTGTTCCATCACATATTTTGCCAAGGAAAAAGAGAAACATTTTCTCCAAAAACCCAAGAAATGGCTTCCAAATCCTTTCTTTTGGTTTCTCTTGCATTAGTACTCCTATGTGGTTGCCAAGCAGATTTAGTTGATGACATTTGCTCTGTCAGTACCAATCCATCTCTCTGTAATCAGATTTTAAGGTCAGACCCTCGTACCCCAGGGGCCAAAAATCTTCGCGAATTAGGTAAAATAGCACTCGATAAAGCCCTTGAGGGGACCAAAGCAACCCGACTAGCGGTTAAATCACTTGGCAAGGGACCAACAGCTAGTACATGTGTAAAAGTTTGCCAAGATGCCATAAATAATCTCAACGAATGCCGGAATCTGCTTAGAGCTTCCGACATAAGCGCTTTACAGACCAAAGTCTCGGTTGCTTTAACTGATGTTCAAACCTGTGATGATACTTATGAAGGTAAAGAACCTCCACAGATCAATCAAGCCACTCAAAGAGCAAAAGAATTAATAGGCATTTTCTTAATCATTGCAAGTCGATTATAGGCCTAATGAATAGGAATAATTTATATTTATTTATCAGAAGCTTTGATTTCAGTTTTGAACTATATGTTTGAATCAAATAAAGAAGGCAATATTGGTATTCAACTTTTCAGGTTATAAACCTAACTCATAAATATTGCAGCAACTAGCAACCTTTAAAAATTTAATGCTGAAATAATAATTAATAATACATGTTTTGTATTTATATAGGGGCGGAGTTAGGATTGTAGAATTATGAGGGGCAAATTTCAAAAAAAAAAAAAATTATTGTGGGGCAAAATTGAAAACTATTAAGGATTTTTTTTTTAATCTTGAAAAATATTGTGCAAAATCTTAGATTTAAAATTTAGGGTGTGTCTGGGAGCTTTTTAAACCAAAAAAATGGATTTTTGTACCGTTAATTTTTAAACTCAGTAGCCATTGTTGACCCCATGTCTCACATGTGGGAATCACAGGTTGAAAAAAAGGGTAACGTTTCTGCTCAAAATCTGATGAAAATTTCTAACAGACACACCCTTAGTGTGGGGACATGTGACCCCACTACCTCCACTGTAAATCCACCCATGCATATATATCTACAATCTAAATTGAGAGAAATACTTTTGGACAATAATGTCTTATAAATATTATAAAGTTTCAGATGTTACTAAACTCAAAATAAGTGAAATTTTTACTTTCTTAGTTACTAGAGCATGGGTTCAAAAAAACTTACCATAAGTTTCAAAATAAAATACTTCCTTGTTGGTAAAACTTAAATAACACTTTTTTTTAAAATTTTTTTTGCAAGTAACTCATTTCGTTATTGTAAAAATAAGGTAAATTCAATATGGCGTTGAAGTAATATTCTTATAGTCTAATGAAGACATTACGCTAATAGTCACTTAGTTAAAATTATCGGAATTTTGTTAAGTAAAATCAATAAAATTGATTTCGTATCAATTTCGGCCAAATATTCGAATAGGTTCCGATAGTCAAATCACACAAATAAATAAACTAACTTATTCTACTTGTCTGGTAGATGATCGTAGTATATTTGAAATCTTAAAATCAATTCCGGATAAATAAAAAACTGTTATCCAAAGATAGGAGAAAAATCAGTTTTTTCCCCATATAAAACCACCGCTCAAGTGGCTGCTTAGCACGTGGCGAGTGGCGGTATCCTTACTGTGAGCGCTTGAGTGGAGTGCTGGGGGACCAACAAGCGACCTGAAGGGCTATGCTCTTTCATGAAACATGTTGAATTTGAGGCTTATCTCTCCGGTCACAACCCCTATCTTCTATAATTAGGACTCCGTTGGAAGCTAGAATTCATTCCATATCATATTCTTCTCTTACTTTGAATAAAAAAAACTCCAAAAAGATTGTATTTTCTGCATAAAAAATTCATCAATTAGTAGAAAGAAACTTCTGTTTTTGAGTTCGCCATTTCTTATGATTTGAAGTGCTGCTATCAAAAGAAATTGATCATTGTATCTTAGGATACGATTGCCAATCCACCGCCGGCACCAGTGTGGGGCAAATTCGTCTTAAAAACAAATAGTTCAACTCTTACCTCGATCATTTTGCATTCCATTCTTTAATTTGTGTTAGTTGATCAAGGTTTGTATTCGTTTGTTCGAATCTAATCTTTATTTCAACTAAAGATAAGTTTGGTAAGGTTTGTGTTAAGATTATATTTTATTTATTACAATAAAGAAATCACTTTATCACTTTAATATTATCAACAATCTTAAGATGAATTGTAAAGTGATTTCTTTATTCCTTCTTTTATTTTCTTTATCGGTTAAACTAAAGTTCGTTTTCAGTTTAACTTTCCTACTCTTTCTTGATATTTGAACTTTCAGTTGCGGTTTCCTTTTCTACCGTTTATCAAACCTTCGTTCCACATGGCAACCATAAAAGTTTTATGGGGCTAATTTCAAAATATGGCAACAAAAAAGTTAATCTATCTTACAACTCTAAATTTAGCAAAATCCCTAAATGGGGATGATCACGACGTACCAGAAGAAGAAAATAATAGGGCATCGTTGGTCGCATTGGATGTTTGGAAATATTCAGACTTTTTATGTAAAAATCATATTTTGAATGGTTTGGACAACATGCTATACAATGTGTATAGTGCTATGAAGTCAACAAAGAAAATATGGAAATCCTTGGAGAAAAAATAAAATACTGAAGATGTCGAGAGAAAGAAGTTCATCATTGGGAAGTTATTGGACTACAAAATGGTAGATTCCAAGTTGGTTATCAATCAAGTACAAGAATTGTAGATTTTTCTCCATAACATTCATTTTGAGAACATGTCTCTAAGTGAATGATTTCACGTGGCTACAATTATCGAGAAACTTTTCATGTGGAAGGACAATAATTATCCCAAGCACAAGTGCAAGGAGATGAATATTGAAGAACTCAAAGTTTAGTTGAGGATTAAAGACAACGGAAAGTCGAACAAGCGGATTGGAAGCCAAATACCACAAGCAAAAGCTAATGTGGTGGAAATTAATAACAAGAACAAAAAGAGGAAAACATTTCATGGGATCCTTCAAGCAAGGACACAAGAAGAATACAAAGAAATTCAAGGGCAACCATTATAATAGTGGGAAGGCTGGACATCGTTCAAACGAATGTCACAAATCAAAGAAGCAAGCCCAAGCAAATGCCACTAAATTTGATGCATTATTTGATGGAATATCGATATTAATTTGTCGTCCATTGTTTCAGAATATAACAATATTGGAAATCTCATGGAATTGTGGATGGATACGGGTGTTATTCGTCACATCTGCACTGATATTTTCATCTTATACTCCAACAAGTGGTGAGAAATTGTTCATGGGAAACTCTTTAAGTTCGAATGTTGAAGGACAAGGCAAAGTGGTACTAAAAATGATGTAGGGTAAGGAATTCAACCTTGACAATGTACTTTATGTGTCGGACATTCGCAAAAACTTAAATTATGGGTTATTTACTTAGCCAGAATGGCTTCAAACTAGTTTTTGTATCGGATAAGTTTATAATTATCAAGAATAACATGTAAGTAGACAAAGACTATTGTATCGAATATTCTCAAAATAAAGTATCTTCTTCTTTTTATATACTTAAGTCGTCTAATTTATGGCAAACTTTAATTATATACGTAAGTTACTGAATTTGAGTTTTCTACTGACTATACATTTTAATACAAATGGCAAATGAGAGATATGTAGAGGTTAATTAGCCAAAAAAATCGTTTAGTTGAAAGAAACACGATACCTTTAGAATTAATTTATAGTGATATATGTGACTTAAAATTTGTGCAAAATAAATGTGGTAAAAAATATTTCATCACTTTCATTGATGATTGTATAAGATATTGTTATGTAAACATATTAAAAAGAAAAAATGAAGCTTTGAAAGTTTTTAAACACTACAAGAATGAAGTTGAAAATCAATTTGAAAAATGAATAAAGATGATTCATAGTGATCGATGTGGAGAATATGTTGCACCGTTTGAAGAATTTTGTTCGAAATCTAAAATTATTCATCTAACAACAACATCATATTTATGTCAATCAAACTGTTGCTGAATGCAAAAATTGAACTATTAAGGAGATGATAAATGTAATGTTCATAAGTTAAGCCATCTTTTCACTAAGTCACATTCTCAATAAAATACGACACAAAAGCAAAGTTGAAACAACTTATGAGTTATGTAAAGGTCGAAAACCTTTCTGCAAATATTTAAAAGTGTGGGGTGCTTAGCCAAAGTATAAATACCCAGCCTAAACAAGTTAGGATTGGACCTAAAACTATCAACTGCATCTTTATTGAATATACACAATAGTAGCACATATCAATTTGTGGTTAATAAATCAGAGATATTTGATGTAAGTGAATGTACTATAATAGAATCAATGCTGCATTCTTTGAAGATATTTTTCTTTGTAAAAGAAGAAATGTAAGTTCACAAAAATGAACTTATGGTATTTCAAATGGATGCCATCAAGAAAATGAAGAACCAAGGCATGGTAAGAGGGCAAAAATATCAAAGACATTTGGCTCAATTTTTCTAACATTTTTGCTAGAAAATTATCCAAAGACATTTATTGAAGCTATGTTCACTCTCGAAACTCATTAGAAAGATTCTATCAACAATGAAATCGAGTACATCATGCAAAATCATACTTGAAAATTGCTTGATCTTCCACCGATAAATAAAGCTTTAGGTTGTAAGTGGATCTTCAAAAAGAAGTTGAAATCTGAAGGATCAATTGACAAATACAAAGTTAGATTAGTAGCCAAAGGATATAGACAAAGTGAAGGTCTTGACTTCTTTGATATACATTCACTTATTACAAGGATTACATCTATTCGAATATTAATTGCAATCGTAGCATTGCATAATCTTGAAATATATCAAATGGATGTTAAGATTGCATTTCTAAATGGTGAATAGGAAGAAGAAATACACATGTAACAATATTGAGAATTTGTTGCTCCTGAACAGGGGAAAAACGTATGTGAGATTGTAAAATCATTGTATGAATTAAAACAAGCACCTAAACAATGACACTAAAAATTTGACAAAACTATGCTATCAAATGGTTTCAAAATTAATGAATGTCTATATATTGATGATATGCTAATTATGGGCAATAACTCGAAAGTTATCACTACAATTCTTAATTGCGGTCCTAATATGCTTTAAACTCTTTTCAAACAATTATAGTAGATTATTTTTACAAAAGTCTAGGTCTGGCATAAATGCTCCTAGTAAGTAATTGTAAAAGCTCTAGAACTATTCATACATAACATTATAAATACTATGAATATACCAAGCAAATTTGGGTTACTCACTTATTTTTAGCTCCAAGCATAAATCTTTACGGTTATTACTGTAGTGGTACCAATACAACAATAAAGCATTATACAATGGATCCATTACATAGTTGAATCAATTAAAGCAAATTCACGAAGTTGGTATGAAGGATAAAACTCTAAATTACACAGTATATACAAAACAT